TCCCAAACAAGCACTGTTCAAGAAAGAACAGCAAAGGAGAGTCAAAACCCAGCTTAAGTTTTATATATGTTTCATAAAATAAGTCTTTGTTCAACATATTTCATGTGATTTCTGTAAGGAAAATGTCAAACCAGCTCACCAACTTTAATCTAAATAAATTTCATTTATTTTATAATGAAAGATTTTTTTCATCTAATCTTTAGATTAGGTTGGGAAAACTTCAAGAAAGCTCGTATTTTCAATCCTCTTTATTTTCCACCCTCACCTAATATATTTGTAACTATGACTAGGGAAAATGTTTTATTACTGCTTACAAATCAAGTATTTGGTCAAAACATATATTCATTTTCATCCAATGAAAATAATGTTCTCTAGAATATGATCAATATTCATGTAGAATTGTCAAGTGCAGAGGTTTTTTAGAAAAGAAGGTGTTACATTTTCCATAGGTTCCTGTTTACAGTCAGAATAAACTACTTCATAGTATTTTGAATTTAATTTATTGTAGTTGTGCAAAATGCTCTCACACACACCCACACACACCCTATGCTTCCCTAGAAAACTAACAAAATAATCAAACTTTCCTATTCAATAGATAGATTTTCCATGAAATGATGATCAGTGGTGCTTTGGAGGGAAAGATTATTCAGTTACAGTCCTGAATTAATTTTCTATGGAAGCCATTGAATATTGGTATTTTTCAACACAAATCTGTTAAAATACATGCAATGGTATTTTGTAGTTGTAAGTGACCAAGACTTACTGTTCTTTAATTGAATTTTAATGAAATTATGTTAATAATTCACTGATACAGCATATATTTACACAACTTAAAACTATTTTTATTTAAACAAGCATTTTCTTGTTTAAATAATTATTTAAAAATCCATTTTAAACATGCAGAGTTACTTTTCAATTATTTTAAAGGACAAATTTAGCTAAGGTACTTCATATGCTTTAGAAAAGACACATTTAGTATCTTTAAGTTTCATTCTCTTGAGGTGATTTTACTTATTCAGGGAATAGAGACATCAATCATTGTGGAATTTTCCAAATATATTAAAAATTGACATAAATAAAAATAGTGGGGGATCAGAGATAAATTAATTCCATCACATACACATCTAAAAGTGTTTTTAGTTTTATGAATTCTTTGCAGCAATTTTCATTCCCAGTCACTGGGGTAAAAGGACGTCTCTAACCAAGACCCCTTATTTTCAGATACCTGATATGTAACTCAATATGTCTTCCATCTGTCTCTCAGCATTTGAAGTGCACTCTGCTCAGCTCTCTTTTTGAGCTGACACTGCTTCCAGCTGAGTAACAATATCTGTAACGCACTGCTTATGTAATGGGAATTGCCTGACAAAGGTAGATTACAATAGTGCTGCTGCACAAATGCAGAGATTAGAAATCCAGAGATGAAAATACATATATTTATTTTTCTTTTGTTCAAAAGAGAAAGATGAGCAATTGACTTGAAACACAAACAGATTAATTCCCTCTTCAACCTGATTCCATTCTAAGCACTTCTCCTGAAATGTCAAAGTAATTTTCTTTCTTTTCTTCCATCTCAAGTGTCTTGCATTCAAATTGCTATTATTACTGCTTATATTACAGGAGGATTAGGTCACAGTTCATGACCTTTGAGGCCAATGCCAGCAAAACAATGAAGATCAATGCTAGATTCTGATTTTTGGAACTGGGTCTATCCAGTCTAGAAATAGATAAGTAAAGCATAATTTTTTTGTTTCAGGACTGCTTCTGGTCACTTATTAGAACCAGAATTTATCAGGGTTTTTCCCCCCTCTCCTTGACATACTACTACTGTATTTATTGTCCTCTTCTATATATGGTTATTTTCTTCCAGATATATTTGCAGAGTCGCTGATTTTGAGTCAGAAAGGAATTTTTTTTCAAGACTTAGGGGCTACTGAAGACATGTCATGTCTTCATGCCGTCATGTCACAACGTTTTAATTCCATGCTAATGCAAGGTCCAAGAATTATGGCAGTGTATTACCTGCTTTATCTCTGTGATATAACACAGTTTTCCCACAGTTTACCTTCAGTCTGCTAAAGCTCTTAATTTGTGCCATGGCATTAAAACGTTTTGTGGGGTTTGGAGTATGCCCAGAATGAAATAGATTTTCAAGGATACCTCTGAATGAAAGTCCAGCCACATGGATTTCCCAGGCTGAGCTCAGCCCAAGGGACACCCTGCAACAAGGCTTGGCTCACTCCAGGGCCCAGCTGTGGAAACACAACTGAACAAGGTACAACAGGGCATAGCAGCTTCAAATCTGTGTGTCCGATAAGGCAGCTCTCCATTCAATGTGGAATCAAGCAGGCAAACAGGTACTTGTATAAAAATCTGATGAAGTGTGGAGAGGAGGGAACACTCCTAAACAAGCTGGAATTATGTTTTGCAGGGAACTATATCTGTCTGAGAATGAACATTAACCATCAGTGCATACAACAATGGAACCACACACACATTCAATTTGCCATGAGAACAAGAAATCTAAGCTTTGTAACCCATTGCTGAAGTTAACTTTGTAGAAAAATTGAGCAAGATGCAGAAATTAAACATAAAGGATCATAAGTCGCTTGCTTAATAGACAGAAAAAAACATAAGCAGAAAAAAAAAGGATTATGCAATTTGACAGTTTGATGTGTGAGTCAGCAAAATAGTTTAGAAATGCCCTAGGAACAATCAGAATGTTCCATTTCCCAATTGAACATATTCAAATATGAGCTGCATTCAAATATATTTTGATTGACTGCAGATCAGATTTATTTTTACTTGATCTAAATAATAATAAATATTGTTAAGTGAGATATTTAAAGCAGTAAAACAGTTTTTACAAAAAACAACACTATATCACAACATTTTGTTAGGCAGAATTTAGTATTTATGGAAATAAACAAAAGAAGATTAAAGAGCACAAAGGAGAAATACTTATGATGTTTATGATTGTGAACTGAGGATGCAAAGCAAATATAGGAAGATTTATTTGCTCTTATTAAGATTTGTAGAGGAAATGGACTCACTGAAATAGCCATGCATGACATCACTTTTAATAGGGATTCACAAAAAGAATTAAAAGCCATTTCTTGTGAGAATCATAATTTAACTTATTCTACTTTTAAATCCTTAGATTTTTGGGGAAAGAGAGGAAATCATTCTTATAAAATATAGTTCAGAGAGAGAATTGACTCACAAGTAACGCTGTGGAATCATTTCATCATCTGCACCCTGATGTAACTGAATATTCACCAACACTTCTATGTCTAAATACAGGCAAGGTTTTAATTTAGAAGAAGCACGTCTCCAATCATTCCTTCAGTTACATTTTCCTTTGTCTTCTAGAAGGAACAAACTCAAGGAAATAGCTTCTCTTTAGTAAACATGAGAACAAAGATAATTCTGGGAAATGCAACTTTAAGTTGTGTGCAAATAGAAGCTAATTTCAGATACAGGTTTAAAAAACTAGAGTAAATTTCCTTGAAGAAACAGTTAGCTACTGGAACAATTTTGTAAATCTCATCTTTATAAAGACATAGCATTTTTTAATATTCTATCTTCATGTGATTTTAACAGGACAAAACACTATTGGATTTATGTGACCATAAGGAGGTATAAAATTGTAAGGAAATGAAGTGCATGTAGTTTTGGGGTAGAAACTTACACATAAAGAAATCAAGAGTTGAAGAAAATTTAGGTCAAAATAGTCCTCACAGTGCAACACAACCACATGCCCAGACAGTCCCAGCAAATGTATTGAACATGCTGACAAGCAAAGCCAGAAACATAGTGTACAGGCAGCTAAATGTTGTTTAACTTGAGATGGAGATCAAAGGGAACACTATGAGGAGAAAAGATTAAGAGCTCTTTAGCAAAGCTTCCTTATATATGTATCAAATAAAAGTGGCATATACTCAGTTTGCTATTTGAAGATTTGTTTCAGACTGTGATTGTAAATACAGAATGTGGAACATTGTGTCTTTGAGGAGAATTTTCGTCCTGCTTCTTTAGCCCAAGCATCCTGCATCTGTAGCCCAGCATCTGTTTCTCACCAACTTAAGGCACTGTACCAGTTTCTGAAGAACTCAAGCAAATGTCAAAGGTTTCTGTCCAATCTGTTCCACATCAGAAACAGTGATGTCATATGTCATCAGATTTATATTTGCATTATATAGCTTTATAAAAAAAAAAGACACAATAATGCTGGAGAAAAGGTTTCTTCCTACAATAGGTGGATATTAATTGAGTCAAATGAAAATTCAGTCAAATCAGTGGAATTGAAAATGGATCACCACTTCATGCATTTATTTAGACTTTGTAATGTGCTTTATTTGAAGTTAGGATGCTGTGGAATCAAAAGGAGCAATTTTTAGCGAGTAGCCTCTGAAAAAATAGCAGTAAGAATGATCTGTTTTCTACAGATATGTGTTTCCAGATTGATTAACTCTAGTGTCTAAGAAAATCCCAGCTCTAAAATTCTGCCTGATGCTTTTGGCCTGTATGAAAGTGGATTCTCTTCTGTTTTATAAGAAATGAATGCATGGTGACACTTTCTTACTGAAAGAAAGAGAGAAACTCTTTTACTGACCATCTGTTTTAGCAAACCATTTGGAGACAATTTCTAGTTTTGTTTCCAGAGGGTGGAGTAGTCAATCAGATTTGGTTGAAATTAGTGTGAAAATTAAAGTGGGTGTTTATAGGGAAAGTAATATCTATACCTGTGATTGCATAAGATATATTTCCTTAGGAGGTTATGCTAAATAGATAAATACATCCATGTTTGGTCTGGGTCTTACCAGACAGATTATTACACTAGATGGAAGTAGACACTTACTTATCCAGTCCAGTCAGTATATTCCTCATATACAGAACACGTGTAGAGAACATCTATATTGATATATGAGCATATGTAGAACAAGCCAATTGGAACAACACTGAAGTTTCTTACTTTTCCTTTTTTCCCACCTTTGCAGAGTATTTGGAGCTGCTATACTGCTGACATCTTCCCTCAACATGCTAATACCATCTGCAGCCAGGGTGCACTATGGATGTGTCATCTTCGTTAGGATCTTGCAGGGCCTTGTAGAGGTATGGAAAAATTATATAACAAATAGTAAATGTGATAGATGTTTGTTAGCCTTTAACTAGCAATTGTAGCTTTGGAAGGAAGAGAGAAATGGTTTTGAATTTATTACTGATATTGAGTATAAACAATTTCAATGTTTTATAGCTATTTGATTTTTCTTCAGCTATAAAATTTCATGGCAAAGTATTCTCTGGCTGAGAAGCCAGTGGGATATGCATTTAGCACTGACATTTCACTAAACTCCTATACTGCATAAAGCTTATACTGGTGTAATTCTCAACAATTACTTGATGATCAGCATCCCAGAATAAACATATAATAAAAACTTAAGGTCATATCTTAAGTCCTGACCATGCCATGTTTTTCTTGGAATGAATAAGAGATTTACTATAATTTAAAAGAGGAAAAAAATAATTGAGCCTTGCCTCCCCTCGCCTTGCTTCACTTCCCCTTCCCCTTCCCCTTCCCCTTCCCCTTCCTCTTCCCCTTCCACTGGTGGCTGGTTCATTGCTCCTCAGGGCCACAAAGCTTCTGTTGCATTAACTGTTTTGAGCTACTGTACTTTATTGTATTAAAAGATTCCAAAAAAGGGTGCAGAAATAGCCTGAAATTTAGGTGACTGTGAAATAATTTCTTAAAGCATATGTGTATAAATTTGGATCCATTCCTGACAAGTGATCTGCATGCACAGAGGGTATGTTTCACTGCAAATGTGAGAGGACAAGAAGCAAGTGGGTAATGAATTACACAATAAAATACCTATTGCAGACTCACACATTTCTCCAATACTGTTCAAAGGAATTATGAATGCAAAACATTCCAAACAGGACTTTTTGAAAAAGGGTTGTGATAAATAACAATAATTTTATAATTATATATTTATATATTTTTTTTAAATTATAAAATACTGAAATAAGCAGGAAACTGTGTACAGGACAGTTTTGTTTTTTCAAAACAAAAGAAGTGATTTTACAGAAGTGATTTTTCTGCATGTGGAGGCTCATCCTCTGAATATTTGTGAAACCCTCAGCATGCAAAAAAAGTTACTGATTTTTCTAATTTTTAGAAATTTTTGGAGGAACAAATGATCAGATTAGGAGAAAAATGAATCTATATAACCTATATAATATATATGATATATATATACACCATAATTCTTAACCAGCAATTTGTGTACAGTTGCTGTACATTTCATATAACATCTTCTAAATTTCAACACTACAGGTTTAGTTTTTCTATTGCTAAGTCTAGTTTTGAAGAGAGACCTAAAAGGTAGCTGGTTTCAAATCAAGTAAAAAAATATCATTCAACTACTTGCTTTACATGGTCAAGAAGGTTCATCAAAGACTCCTCTTAAAAGTATATTTCTAAACAGTTATAGATCTTATTTCCTAGTTTTAGAGCAGTGGCACTTTAATCTGGATTTCCTAGACTATACTTTAAATGTTAGATTAAAAAAAATAAGGGTTGGATAAATCAGTCCTGCATTAGAAAGACTTCAGAGGGTCTGTGTTCCCATCCTTTCTTTGACTCTGGTTCTTGTACACTCTTTCTCTTTAATTATTTGCAATTCTTTCCTGAAAGGGGGAGGGGAAACAAAAGGAAACATGTTTTATATTTGTTTCATATAGTTTCTTTAATGATTTGGAGTGATATACAAAACCCATTTCAGCTTGAATAAATATTGACATTTTTCTGTGGCTGTGCTCAGATTTTGCTATAAAAGTACAAAGCATTATTATTACTGCTATAAAAGTGCAAACCTCTTGTTTATAGCAATTAAAAATAAAAACTCATTCAAAGACAATTAATTGAGTGACTGACCAGCATTAGCTAACTTGTGGCACACCCATTCCCCAGGGGGTCACCTACCCTGCCTGCCACGGTATTTGGAGCAAGTGGGCCCCCCCATTAGAAAGAAGTAGGTTAGCAACCACTTCCTTTTGTGGTAAGTAACTTTGTATTTTTGACTTCCTTCCATTTGTAATGTACAAATGTTTTGAAACTGATTTTTTCTCCCTTTTCATCCACATGTCTTGTTTTGTAGGTTCCTATGCAGGAGCTGTCATTGCAATGCCTTTAGCTGGGATTCTAGTGCAATATACTGGGTGGTCTTCTGTGTTCTATGTGTATGGTACGCATTTCTGTTCATTTCACTCCAGTATTGTATGACCTCATTCTACCCTTTCTAAAAATGTAAAAGCTACTGTTAAGAGGACAAAAACCCCAGAGAAGTGGGATTTCTAAGATAAAAGTACAGTCCAGACAAAAGAACAATGAAAGAACAGAATTTAAAGAGTATGAAGAAAGCAACCTAATTAAATAAGAAAAGCTAGCTCATGTTGAAACCTTCATCACCTTTAGCACAAGCAGTGCAAACTTCTGTGCAGACCTATAGTATCTCTGCTCACAGTAACAACTCTCACACTGATGAAACTGCAAATTTAGAGTAGCTTCCCTGAATAAATTGTCCTGATTTTTATCTGAAGACCTACATAACTTTATTCACACCAGTTTTGTTAACCTACACTGACAAAAAAGAATGTCCCAAGGGAATTAATTCTGCATTTATGTGAATTAAGTGGAAGCATTATAAAAATTTGATGAACTACTCAGGAAGTGCATTGCTATTTTGAAAAATATTGCCAGTCTTCTATTTTGCAGGTAAAAAATTTAGTGCAGTAATCAAACAGCAGCATCTTAAAGCTGAATGAGCCTTCATTTACAGTTTGGTGAAATGAAATGGAAGCTGTTTCATTGCCTTGTATTTTACAAATTGATGTTAAAATCATTGAATATTCACTTCCAGTGAAATCATGCTGTAAACGAAGCAAAGACTGCTTCACTGTGCTATAGTTCTACATGTATTTTGAACAAGTATTATTTAGAGTATCAAACTCTGTGTTGGAGAGTTATCTCTACTGAGAGAACTCAGTAAAGACACACTGACAACAATTGCCATTTAAATTTGTTGTAATTCTTCTCAGATTATTCTTCCTTGTTTGCTGTTTTACTGTGTATTTCTTTTTAAAGTCTTTTTTTCCATTCCAAAGGGAGCTTTGGTATAGTCTGGTACATGTTTTGGCTTTTGGTTTCATATGAGAGTCCTGCAAAGCATCCTACAATCACAGACGAAGAAAGGAGATACATAGAAGAAAGCATTGGAGAGAGTGCCAACCTCTTAGGTGCAATGGAAGTAAGAATATTACCCACATGAGATATTTCCAATGAGATAGTAAGAAAAATAAACACCCCAGCACCCATATAAAGACAACAACAAAAAATCACTCTCCTTTAAGATCGAAAAGTGTATTTTGAGCAACTTGAAAAAATGTGGTCCTGGGGGATGGGAAGATCTTAAATCTGCTGGTGGATTTCTGGGTGGATACTGTTTTTGCACTAAGAGAACATAGGTTCCAGTTCTTCTAGCAGATGACTCATGGAATTTATGCCTCTCTTTCAACTCCAAATTATAAAAAAGAGGTACAGCTACATTTGAAACTGCAATTTTATTTAGACTTTTCTTATATCTTGAGCTGAAAAGCCAGTTTCCTTCTTATATAGTAATTTCTGGAAGGTTTTAATCTTCATAAAAGCAAACTTCAGGAAAAGCACTACTCAGTGTCTTTTGAGGTCCCCAGAACATCAAAAAATGCCAATCTATATTATTTTATGTTTTGTCTGCTAGAAAGACTGCAAGTTGCAATAGAGCATGCTTTGAGATCCATAAGAACACTTCCCGTTATTGCAGTAATTTTGCTGGAGACATATTATCAATAATATAATCTTAGTTTTGTACTGGTTTAGTTCTCAAGAACTGCTAAAAACCATATATGGACTCTGAATTTTCCAGCCATTTAACATTCTATTCATGAAAATAATCATGTTATTTCTGTATCTGCTGAAAGGCTTTAAAGAAGCTATTGCCATGTTTGTTCACTCAGGAAAATAAAAAAATTGTTTAAGTCTCACTTCATTGCTTAAATTTTTGCACCATCCATTCCCAGTAGACCCTCATTATGTTTTCTGTTTGGTCAGAACACTGGTTCTTGATTGAACTAATGAATTAATAATTTTTGTCTTTGTAAAAACTTTGTTTCATATTAAATAAGGAACTGAAAATATTAGAGCCATTTTTTGATAGCTGACATTTTTAGATGTTATTGAGGACCTGTCTCAGGTGGTATTCAACGGCATTCAGCAATGTTCATGGTTTTGAAAACCTGATGTAAAATGAGCTCTTTGAAGGATGCCCATACAATTTGAACTGGGATTGTATGATTTATGTCTATTTTTTATTGTGGCTTTTTAATTAAATATTTTTTTTCCAAAGTGATTATATTGTTTCAGTAGTTCAGTTGCCTCTAAAATATTTAAGCTGAAATTCTTCCCATACCATCGAGTTTGATGATTTTCTGGCTGGCTTCTCATTAATTAAGTCAATTAATCCTTTCCTCTCATTTAGGTGTAATTTAATAGGTATACAGGGTGTTGCACATATCCATATATGGACTGTTTTTCTTTGAAGAAAAGCCAGTGTTCAAATCAATAGTAGACTGAATTCAACCTGAATTATTGCTGAAGTGACTTTCAAGCACTTATCTGGGTATGGATCCTGTGTTTGGATCAACACAGATGGGTGGAAGCTTGGGCTTGTGGACAGGTGCTGGAACCCAGCTGGATTGTCCATCTGTCTTTCTCTTTTCCTTTATGCAATTTATTTTAAAAATACAAGAAAACAAACAAAAAACAATATTGACCAAGAAGTTTCAGCTGAGGCTTGATTTTTTTTAAAAAAAAAAGTAGAATACTGCAATTAGGATTTAAATGCTAAAATACATGTTTGCAGCAAATATGAATGAAATCATGTAGTTACAATGTCAAATCTGACTGTTGCTCTACATACAGCAACATTGTCTTTTAAAGACACTATTTAAAGATGTTATTATTTAAAATGTCATTTAAATACATTATTATTTTGATCTTATATCCATGTATGTTCATGTTTATATGACTGAGATAAAAGCACTTGTACATGAGTGTTGTGATACAATTAAGTATCTCTGGGTTTCTCTACTTGTGCATTTTGTAGTAACTTTTATATGTTGTGCATATATGTGCTTGTTGGACCATAGCTAAAAAAGGGCAAAGAAAGAGAAGATGGATGGTTGATAATGATCAACATGGTAACTGGATCCTTTTTCTATGTTTCAGAAATACAAAACACCATGGAGAAAATTTTTTACATCTATGCCAGTCTATGCAATAATAGTTGCAAACTTCTGTAGAAGCTGGACTTTTTACCTGCTGCTAATTAGTCAGCCTGCTTACTTTGAGGAAGTGTTTGGATTTGAAATAAGCAAGGTATGTAAAAAGAATGTAAAGCTCTTATCTTAACTAAGTAAATATCAGAGCTACATTCATAGTATTTAGGAAGAACAGGAAAGAAAAGTGTTACACATCTTTATCATGGATTTATATCTTAACTCTTACTCATTCCAGTTGCTGTTTCCTTGACCAGCATGAATGAGTGAAGTAACAGTTATGATAAAGGATGAGATAGGGAAAGGTGGAGGCAGGATGAGATTTAGTGATGAGCTACTTGGAGCTGCATTGCAAGTGCTCAAAACCAGATGTGCTTGGTATTAGAAAGGTGTCAGCTGACCCATTGCACTCTGTCCCTGATGCCCATGGGGTTGCAGAATCCCATCAAAGCAGTACAGAAAGCATTGACAAATGTATTTTTCCAGGTGCCTTTCAAAAAGCAGTGCCATCTTGTTCTAGGAAGGATAATATTTGTCACCTCTCTGTATGCCACTTCAATGTGGTGAGAACTGCTCTCCCTTTCTCATGTAGAAAGGAGAAAAGATGGTGGCAAAATGTGAGTATAGGGTTGATGTAAGGTTCCATGTGATTCATTTGAAGTTTGGATCGGACCTGTAATGCATGCAGACATTTACAGACATGTAAATATGAATGCACGCATATAATCTATTGGAACAGTCATCACAAAGTACTACATCTTATTTTGCTATGTATGTGTAGTACTTAGAATATCACCAATGGATATTTAGTATTTTATCTTTCACTACATAAAAAGTTTTTCAGACATATCTTTTGCTCCCATGCACTTTGCAGCTTAGTCAGAAATCAAAGACAAATAGCCATTGTGCACGTGATGATTATCCATAAGGAATCTGTCTAGGTATGTGAGGCTTACTGCAAAGCTGCAATGAACACCAAAAGAAATGTAGCAATTCAGTTTTACATGTTTGATCATTAATATTCTGAAAATTCTGACAAGGGGACTCTAAGTGAGGGGAAAAAGCTTTAGCTTAAATATAAACTATGAAAACAATCTGTAAACAAAAATTGTCATGGTATCAGAGGGTCTTATAAATTCTCACTGGACTAAACTAAACTAAACTAAACTAAAATAAAATAAAATAAAATAAAATCTTCAGATCACCAGTTTTGTTAATTTCATAATCCAGCACTTTTAGTTTTAACACAGGGAGTGACATTGAAAAGAAATAACTATTTAGCTTCTGAATGCTTCAGAAAATGAAGAATAAAGGTTTTCTTATGGTTTATACTTGGCTAATTCTAATTTTAATTTTAGGTTGGTATCTTATCTGCTGTACCACATTTAGTGATGACAATTATTGTTCCTATTGGGGGACAAATTGCTGACTTTTTAAGAAGCAGGCAGATTGTTTCAACGACTAATGTGAGAAAGATAATGAACTGTGGAGGTAAGTCTTTGTATTTTATTTAGAAGTTTATTGGAGGGATTGAATGTTCATATTGTTTTCTGTATAAAATAAAGAAACAAACTGCACAGTTGTATGTTCTTAGGAGGCACTTTTTATGTAATGCAGATGTTGTTACTAAATAAAAGAAAACACAGGTGCTCCCAATCACCATTTCCATCTAGTTACTTGGTATTTGGAATGGAAAACCATTTAGACTGTTAAAGAAATAGATGAGCTTTTGGAGGGTAATTTTCCTACCCTTGGCTATTTACTCAGTCTTAGCTCCTTATCTAAACACCAAGAGAGCCCTGACAACTACCTGAGATTAACATCCTTGGCTTCTGAGATGTTAAAGCCACATTAGCTGTGGTAAGGGCTGGAAAATTCACAAGCAGGTTAAATGTATATTCCCATGAGAGTTGGCTGGGATGACCTAACTACATCACAAGTGTTTATTTTTATCTTGAAACTGACAGAAAATAGCAATAAATTAGCATACAGAGAGTAAAATAAGTATTATTTGAGAGAGGAAGAACATGTGTTTTATAGAGATGAAAGAAATACCTGATTATATCCCACCCTGAGGTAATGTTTTATTTGTATTTCTATGAAATATCATAGTACCTAAGACCTGCATTATTTGAGAAGTAATTAAATCTGATGCCTGGTTTTATTTATTATTTCACCAGGTTTTGGTATGGAAGCAACTCTTCTTCTTGTGGTGGGATATTCACACAGCAAAGGAGTGGCTATTTCATTCTTAGTGCTTGCTGTGGGCTTTAGTGGATTTGCCATATCTGGTAAGATTATATTACTATTAATACTAAATTATTTTATCTTAAGAGACAGGATATCTAGCTTTGCTTTTATTCATGGATAGTAATCAAAAAACTCACTCACTTTGAAATTCCCAGAGGACATTATTTATGATTGTTACAAAGGAATATACATTTGATACTTGATATTACAGCTTTTATATTAGATTATTTTTGTTCAAATAATTCAATCCTTTCCATATTCATCACAGCAAATTAGACTCTCTCCTCATTAAGATGCTAATGTACAGATTTTTCTTGAAATCAAACAGAAGGCATATGGACTGGTATTACACAAGGATACCTAAATAAATATCTTTGTTTAAATAGAAGTATTTTTTCCACTGTGTATTGGTTATTGGTTTGTTAATATTGTATTATTTTATTAATTTGGGGCCTGTTAGTATTATATAACTTTATTTTGGGGCCTAATTACCAGAATTTCTTTTCTGAGATAAAGTTCAGCTATTCCCCTTTCCTGCTGATTCATCAACCCTTTGCCTTTGCCTTTCCCTTTCCCAAGCACAAGTCACCTGGCCTCTCCTTGTTTTCCCACTGCGATTTTAGTATTCTCTCCCATGGTGGTTCCTTATGTCTCAAAAACGTTCTCTTTCATTTTGTGCCAAACATCTAAAATCTCCTCTAATCAAATCTGTCCTTAATCTCATGTCTTCTTCAAGGTATCATTCCTGTTTTGTTCAATTTGGGAAGTGTATTGAACTTTCCCCAAGCTGATCATATCATACTGCCTTCCTTTTCCCTTTTACTATCTGTGTCCAAAGGTTTGGTTTCCGATTTCACTTATATAAGTACTTATTTTGGGAACATTCATTATTCCTCTTCAGATTAGTTAAATAGTTACTGCATACATTTTCAACAGAATTGTTCTGTGGAAAATACAAGAGAACAAGTAAGTATCTTTCAAAATTAATTAGTAATTCAGTTATAGATACTGCATTTTTTCTCCAATTTACCACTGAAGAATAGAAAAGAAGTCCTATCTGCTGGTCTGGTGACAAAAAGAAAAATGTGAGTAATAGGGAAGGAACATATAAAAAGCATGAAGAAAAAAAGATATATTATTTCCATCATGAAATGGGCGTGGAAGGGACTATGAAATACAAATTCTTTTTCTGCCTAAATATCTTCTGGGTTCTCCATAGAGACACTTCTGGGAGGTTTTGGGGTTTTCTTAAACTGCAGTTTTGGGAGAAAATTAACCTGGTATCCCTTTAAAATATTTTCTTAAAAGAAAATGAAAATCCAGAGTCTCTCTAGGAATATTTAAGCATTATAAGTCTAATAGAGGTAAAGAAATGCAATTAAGCAGCCCAAATACGTTATAGTAAAAATGTCATGTCACTTTTCTCAGCTGAAGTACTGCTTAGTCTTGGTGTGAATGCTCACTGACCTTTCTATTGCAGGATTCAATGTCAACCATTTAGACATTGCCCCAAGGTATGCTAGCATTTTAATGGGGATTTCTAATGGAGTCGGGACCTTGTCTGGAATGGTTTGCCCTATAATTGTTGGAGCAATGACAAAGAACAAGGTAAATGGAAGTACAGTTTTCGAATCTTGCAATTGGTTTCAAGAGAAAGACCTTTCTGTAATACAACTTGCCAGGCTATCCATACATCCATATTGGAGTCTGGAACTTGCATCCAGGGATACAAATTTGAGGCAGGCTTCACTATATGCCCACTAGGTTGATGCTTTTGTGAGCTGATAAATTTTTCAAAGAAAGATGGATATAAATATTTCTAAAATGTACGCTTAAATGTTTTAGCAATGCTTACAATCACAAACTCAATCCCTAATTTAAGTCTTCCAGCTCACAAGAGTTAGGTAAATCTGTGTGCTACTCTGATTTTAAAAATTACTTTTTTACAGACACGTGAAGAATGGCAGTATGTCTTCCTTATTGCTGCCTTAGTACACTATGGAGGTGTGATCTTTTATGGCATATTTGCTTCAGGAGAGAAACAACCCTGGGCAGACCCTGAACAGACAAGTGAAGAGAAATGTGGCTTTATTCATGAAGATGAACTTGCTGAAGAGACAGGGGACATTACTCAGAATTATGTAAATTATGGTACCACCAAGTCTTATGGTGCTACAACCCAGGTCAATGGTGGCTGGCCTAATGGCTGGGAGAAAAAAGAGGAATTTGTACAAGAGGAAGTACAAGACTCATACAACTACAAGGAAAGAGATTATTCATAACAAACCTAAATATTTGGTAAATTTTGTAGTGTTTGTGATTAAATTCATTGTGATTGTTTGCACACAGAAATAAAATGTGGTATAAACTTGTAAACACATATCAAACAGGAAGGTCTTACTGTAAAAAAATACATCAAAGTGCAATCTGTATGAGTTGTGATGTTATCACTTTCATTAGGCTATATTTGTTCTATAAACATTAGATTTTTAAGGGTTTACTGGTCAAAACTATAGAGGCAAGTAGATACTTTACAGTATACAAGAGCTAAAACTCATAATTAAAGATTAAAGCACAATTAAGCAACCAAGCTGGCACATCTAATGCTCTTTTTCGAAAGCCAAAATTACTTGATCATTAAAAATGCACTTATATATTTGTTACACTGTATTGAAAGAGATTGTGTTAAGGACACACATTTACTCAGTGCGAAGTAGGAGTTGTGTGTTTAGTCTAGGACAAGAACTTTCTTAAAGAAGAAAAGTTGAGTCCTAGGCATTTATGAGGATTGATCCAGTTCCTTTAATAGTAATTGTATCAAGCCTAAAGAACAAATAGGGCATATTGTATGTTTATTGTGATAACATGCTGCAGGCTACTCTGTGATAAAGGAATGAATTATTTAGGAGTTTTATACTGAATGTTTGGGCACAAATTCTTATTTCTATTCTTTACAGAATCTCATGAAATTATAGACATTGTCATGTTCTTCCCTGCATTTATCAACTAATATAAAAACAATATAAAATACTAAGTCTGACTTTTCAGACAACCTGGAAAATCCCTTTATCAAAAAAACAAGCTTTATTATTCTATTATTTACAGTATTTTCTGAATTTGTACTGGTGATTTTAGAAAGAGGAAAAAAAAACCAATATAACATAGAAAAATATAGTCTTTTACAAAATTCCAAAGAGAAGTTTACTATCAGCTAGTAGCCCTATGAAAAAGGATGCATTTGTTTTACAGAATATTTTGAAACCAATAGAAGAAACAGAATAATTTAACCCTTATCCTTCCCTTAATAGCTTTCATATTTTTACACATCATGCCACAGTTGTATACATAGATATGTTTATTGAAGATACTGTAATTATAGTAATTGTTGTTATTTTAGAAATCCCTGAAATAAAAGATGTATTTGTCTTTCAATCAAACCTAAAAATGGACACTGAATATGAGTAACATAAAAGCTCACAATAAACCAAAGTGGTAAATAACTAGTGTTGGGTTGAAAGAAGCCAACAAGCATTATGCTTGTCTTTTTAGCATAACTCAACAGCGACTGCAACATTAGTGTACCAAGCAATAAGTGCAATGCATTATGAAGTGCATAATCTTCTAGATGATATATTAACCTTCATTTAGCTTGTTGTATATACTTGGGGTTGTTGGGATTGAACCAAACTGAATCAACTGAAGTTCACAACACCAGACCACTTCTTAATACTCTAAAATGACAACAATGATCCATTTCTTAATTCAATCAAATGATTATTATTGTATGTAATAATCCATTCTGGATTCTTGGTCTGTTCATTGTACTGTGCTAGTGATTGGAAACCCTGCTACCGCAATATACAACTTGAGGATTGTTTTTTCTCCTTTTTTTAATGCAAATCATACCTTGACTTTAAGAAAAGAAGTATTTTGCTTTGTGCCTCAAAGTGATGTAAAACGTGACCATAGCTTTTGCTGTGTTTAATGAAAAAGATGTGGACTGTGTCACTTTTGTTGCTGCATAAAGTGTTAATAAAATGCTCTATTTATCCTTTTATATAAAAAAGACCACTATAGCTTCTTGTAATTTTTAGATGTGTTTTAATATAGATGACTAAAATTATAGTCACTGCAGAACAAATTCTGCTATTGACATGGAGAGAGTCTCACAGCTGGGAGCTCTGCTCCATACCCAACCTTTCATATTGTTCTTGCCTCCAACCATGTGCATGCCTGTGGTGGGGAAGGCACCTGTCTCAAGATTGTCCTCTCATAAGGATGGTTGGCATAGGTGTGGAAGAGAAAGGAGCAGGAGGATCAGTGTGACAGATACAGTGAACCTAGGAAGAACAGACTAATCTGTGCTAGTGGAAAAGCTGGCATAGATCAGCATTCTCTAAAGAAAATGAAAAGCTACACATTGCTGTTTGCAGAATTTTTCCCTTTCTTGATTATGCAACAAGGCTCCTTAACTGAAACATACTACTTTCCATCCATTTTTTAGATAAACCCCACAGCAATCTGTAACGTAAAGAAACCCTATATTAAAAATAAGTATTTTTCTAGTAAAATTTTTCAATAAATAGTAGAATAATGCAGAAACATCAAACTGAGCAAAAGGCTTCAGAACACTAATCAGAGCAGTAACAGGCCCCGTGCTTTTCACCAATAGGCTGGTTGCCACGAGATGCTGAGTCAGTTAAAAAACAAAGTTTATGCTAACTGTTTTGATGGACTGGTGTGATGTTGCCATAGAAACTTCCTGAAAGATTCAGAAGTTGGATAATTAGTGGCTTCAAAATTACTGTTGTATTTATTGTGATAAGTGGACGGCTCAGAAAGTACAAACTAAATAAAAATAAATTTTTCTTAATTTTCAGTCTGATCTTACAGGTTCTCTATCTTGGAATTATTTCAATAATTTCCTTTCATTAAATATAGGTAGGGGTTTTTTACTTATTAGCTTGAGACCTTTGAATTATATAGAACAAAGGAGAGACTTTAATCTAGGCATTAGATACTGCACTGTTCGGCCAGCTACAACTCAGTGAGGACCTAACAATTGTCTGTGAATACTATACGACTAGAGGAACTTCCACATTCTTTTTTTAGCTCTCTGCTTCTACTTTGGCTCCTTCACTCCCTTTTTCAATGGCAGAGGAGAAGAATCCATTCTTTTGGGAAGGAGAAGGAGCATGATAGGTCTTAAGGTTTTTACTTCACAGACTCCTATTCATGTGAAAATACAGGAAGCAATTATTAGGAACATGACAGAAAAGGAAGAAGGGGAAAATGGAGAAAATAATTGGGTTCTTCAAAGACAAGTAGTAACAGCTATGTCTGCTTTAGGACAAAGGAGAGCTGAGGGGACATGACCTTTTATCTAAACCCCTGTATTTTTTCTCAGTAAATAGATTTATGTTTTTCTCTTGCTACTTCATTTTTATAAAGTAGCATTTCTAAAATATACCTCTTCAGCATCTTCTGAACTGTGCCTTTTCTGCTCAGAGGTTTCTCTTCTGCATAGGTTCAAAGATTTGCTCTGCAAGCCTGGTACACATGTATGGTGTAGTGCTTCCCTTTTGGAAGTCTCAGAAGCTTGAATAATCTCTGTTTGTCAATCAGACCATGTTCATAGTCACTGGATGGTTTTGTCTTGTCACCAATTTCTGTTTTGTTCCCCACCTGATAATTCCCTGCTCAGTTATTATGTTGAAAAAAGAAAAAAAAGGAGGAGTTGTTACCCACATTTTTATTTATTGCTTGGTTATCTTTTCAGTGAGGTAAGTAAAATGAAGAGGCAGAATCTGGGCTCCATTAAAACTGTTAGAAAAACTTTGCATTTAGATGGGCTAGAATAACACCTCAGATGTTCATGTCTTCAAATGATTCCATATTGACACTATCAGTCAAATTGATAATTCTTAAAATATTTGAATCTCCCTCAGTGGGATCCCTTCTGTTAACACATACTCTTTGTTGCAGATATAAAGCTATCATAAAATGTTCTTTGCTTTCAAAAGTGATCATGAAATTCAATTGATCAAATTTTTTTAAAAAAACTTTCCTAAGGGGAAAAAGAAAGCCTCAAGGTAAAGGTTGAATAAAAGTTACAAAAGAATATCAGCAAATATGAATAAAATTCTCTTTCAGCATGAAGCTAGGAATAGGAATGAGGGTGGAAGTCAGAATAAATGTCACAGTTCAAAGCCATACCGTAAGATAACATCACAGTCTCAGTTGCTGCCTCTGAGAGATGAAATGTTTTGTTCCTTTCATGATATGCTGTGAAGGAGTTTAAAGGCTAGTATAAGTCTAGATTAACTACTTAACAGCAGCTGCTTTTGTACTTATTTGGAATTTGTCTGTGTCTTTTGCATGAATAATTTTCTTTGCACTGGGAGACTTAAGAGTAAATAGTCAAGGGACCTAGAGCTACAGTGGGATATTTTAATTAGATATCTATGGATATCCTCTCTATCCAGCTAGTGCGTCTCATGTTGCTATTCTAGCTTTGCTTAATGTCTCTTCACTCAGCTGTAAGCCCAAGCACATCAAAGAATGAAATGTATTATCTGTTTGCTTATGAACCACTACAGAAGCCTGTGCACTTTTTTATACTGAGGTCAAGTGCTTAGACAGTATCTTCCATGCTTGGGAATTAATGTAACAAAATGATTGTTGGCAAATGTCTCTTTGGTAAAATTTTAACACTAGAAACATACAATCCTTGCAATTTTTGTTTCAGGTGAATAAACATTCTCTCAAAAACCACAGGTGAGACATTAGAAAATAATACAAAATTACATTTTGAGCAATGGTCTAACCTGTCACAGGCTCTTATCTATAAGAAAGTAGAGAATAAGTATGAAACAGATGTAATGTCAGACATAAAATATATGGGTAAGTTATATATAAGGAAAAAAAACATTGTAGGAAATTTGAGGAAAAGCTATAGAAGAGCCGACAAATTTCTTCACTTTTTCACAGAGAATCATAGAGTGGCTTGAAATGCAAGGGACAGCGAGAAGAAAAAAACCCTGAGTATGAAGTCCTAAATATCTGGTCAACCTCTCTTGAGGCTAAGGTGGGGTCAGAGGTTGGCTCAGAAGCTGATTGCCACATTCTGTGGGACCTAGCCTTGTGTCTAACACGTTTCTCTGCCAGGGCCACAGGGACACTTTCAGGCCTTAACTTCCCTGCCCATTTTGCACTTGCACCCCCAACAAAAATTATGCTTGGAAGCATAAAATGAATTATGAGAAAGCATGTGAAAGAGAAGATATTGCATTATTAAGATTGGAAGATTGCTATTTTAATAGAGTTTTTATTGTATAATCAATTCAATGTGCCAACACTGGCTAGATGCTACCAATGGCCCTGCACTAGAAGAGTTTGTGAGGAGAACACGATAATTTCCTTCAAGGTAAACATCTGAACAATCAACTGTTTTCAGTTTTAATCTAGACAGTTCCAATGTTATTTTCTTTTTTGTAAATGTTGCTTTGTGGAAATTAAATTGAATCAAGTAAAACTAGAGTCAACATTCTTCTCAGTTGTGTTTTTCTGTGGAATTATATCTGATCATAAGGTCAATAAAGCACAAACAGTTTACCCTGCATAGATGAAGCACCAAATTAAATGTGATATATGTGATGTATTATATATATAATGTGTGTGTATATGTATAGATGTGATGTATGCATGTATTAAAGAGGCTGATTG